TTGCATGGGGTTTTCATTCTTATATTTTTTCATGACATCACATGAGTTGGAATGGTCTATTATTATTTTATTGTATTTATTTTTATATTTTTAATATCAAGAGCAGCTGCTACTTAGCATGCATTGAAATATTCTCTCTTAACCTGCATTTAATTATAATGAAATGGAAGTCACTTTGATCCAGAAAGAATAAGATGTTTTAATGAGTGCTGCATAGAAGCTGCCCTTTGTTTTTAAAAATACAATATCAGAAAAAATAATAGCATAGGCTACTGGCATGGTATTGTCATGAAATAATATAAAATAAAAATATGAAATAATAATAGCATACTATTTCAAATGAAAGGTTGGGGCTCTCAGATGAACAGCACTCTATCATTTTATGAAATACAGTTTTTCTGCACATTTTTATTATATTTTATTTTTATGTCAGTTTTCTTCTGAGAGAATTTTTAAAGCAGTCAACAGAAAACTGCTTGAACAAAAGTTTTTTGGCACTCTCTAATAATAATACTAATTGCCTACCTAGCAGTGATCTTGAGAAGGTAAAAAAACCCTGTCATTTGCAAAGGGACTCGAGGGCTTCCTAAAGTGCTATGAAATCTAGAGTCCTGTATCATTGCAAGTGCCAGGTTCATTTTTTAAAGATTCAGTTAAAGGTCTGAGAGCCCAGCATGGGAAGGAGAAGAGATGGCCATCTGCATTTGCTTCTCTGAAAGCTTTTAGGAGCATATCCTTCCTAGAGAACTTTTCTGTCCCCTCCTATCTTTTGAATGGTCTTTATGAAAATGTTCATTTTCCTAGTAGGATTCTGCATCTTCTAATGCCTCTAATTTAGCTTCCCAATTCTGTTAGGTTGATAGTACCTACTGTACACTACCTATGTGTATGAGGGACCAGGATCCTGAGCACATTTTCTTTGCCACTAGATCATGGGCAGTAGCTGGATAGTTGGACAAGCAAGGGCACATATGCCTTGTCCTGATGTCCTGCAAGTACATGGTTACTATGAACTGATTTTTATCCTCTGAGCTGCTAAAAATACATCAGAGCTCTGCAGCTGTCTGCTACCAGCTTATTTTTCTATGGTTTTAGTAATTTTTTTTTAATTAACAAAAGCACGAGTAATAAGGGTATAGATTATGAACAAAAGCCAAATCATATACTTTATAATATGTCCAAACTCTGAACTGACATAGTACCCAGTATCCCCCCCCCCCAAAATATTGCTTTAGCAATCTAACATGCCTTAGATAATGTAATGTGTTGACCCTATGTGATGTTTTTCCTGGCTTGCATGACTGTATACGACAAGAGTTGCCCTGCAGCTAATAATGGATTCAGTCAACGACGCACTAAGGCAGGAAGGAACATCACTAGTAATACACACACACTTTTCCAACTCACCCCCCCTTCCAACAAGCCACTAAAAATCTGCATTTCTCTAAGATCTAGCTGTCTGTACAGTCATTTAAACACTAAACAGCTCTTGAAAGATTCTTTGTAATTGCACCCTCTGGTGACTCTGAAAAATGTACATGTATCAAGTTTGCTTTTATACGCAGCTTTGAGTTTGTCTTTAGAGAATTGCTATTTAACTTTGAGCTGTGTTATTAAAGCTTGAACCATGTGGCAAACTTTTCTGCGCTAAATCCTTCTGTTGTTTTTAAGCGCACAGACAGCATGGGTGACACAACTGTCATCAGTTTCTGGCTCCTCCGTGGATTTTAACAACTAAATGTTAAGTGTTTTCAAATGCTCTATAGAGTCTTCCTGAGGATTAATACTGAAGGAGGCTTAGCTTTTACTCCATGCTGTATACTCTAGGTTCCTATAAGCTTTCTCTTATGGGCTTATAAGATGCCAGAAGGCTGAGATCAGTATCTGAACGCCTGATTTCTTCACCTGTTTGCATCACTTCATTGTGTCTAGCTCCGCAGGCGTTGGGAACAAGAAGCTGCTGACATTGCCTGGTCTAGTGTCTTATGGTTCATCCTGCTATCTGGATTTCAGTCCAAAAGCTTCTATCCTAAATGAAAATTGCTCAGGATGTGTTTTGGGGAGTATATTAAATGATAGCAGCCTGAAGATCTAGAGCCACCCTTTGATTAGCCATGAAGAGGATTGGTCCTCATCCATATATTATATGAGATTCTCACTTTTCAAAATATGTGCATTTAAAAAATGGTTTATTAGCAAGCTAGCACTTTTTCATACAGGGGCACCTTTAGGGAAAGCACTGGGTCTGGTTACTGATTGTTCTGGTCTGCTTCAAATGGCTTATTTATATACAACCAGCATCTGCTACCAGAAAGGAAAGAGGAAACTGCTCATCTGCTGTGCTCAGACAGACAGTTATGCAGGTTACAGCCTCTCAGACCTAAACGCAATCATGGAGAATGTACTATATTAGCATACCCACACCTGACACTCATTTCTTTGTCTACCTCAATTCAGTCATATCTTCATACATCTCTATTACATCAATACACATATACACTCACAAACACACACGTTTACACCTATACCACCTTGTACCAGCACACACCCCTGTACATTCCCATATACACCTACCTTACACACAGTCACTCACTCCCATACTGTTCACACCTAGAGTACACTACTACTCCTTCCAGAACTCCCATCTCCATGTAGCATCATTGGGCAAATCAGCCAGTTTCTCTGTCAAGTGGTGCTAGTCCAGTGGTTGGCCAATAACATTTAGGGGTGGTCTTCTAGAAATGGTACCTACGAAGTGGCCTGATCTGTATATCATTGTCTCTAGATAGCAGATGGAGATGCAGTTGTCAAATTCCTATCTTTGTGTGCCTGTGGTTAGAGGTACCCTTTTCACCGTATCCCAAGGCATCACACATGCCTTTTACTGGCATGTGGAAAACCTGCAGGGCAGAAATACATGACCATGCCCATCATTGCTGGGAGGTTGATATTTCCAGGGTAATTTTTCAGTCTTTGTGATAGGGAAGCAATGCTATTTCTTGTTTTCCAGTTCCATGGAGCTTGTAAGAGACTGTGATTTAAAGAGGGGAAAGGAGGATGAATAATATGAGGGAGGGTCTATGACTCTATTTCTCTCGCCCTGTTCTCTCACCCTACTCATCCCCCCACCCTCCTGCAGTGAACAAACAAGCTGTTCAGATAAGGATTTGAAAAGTGACCGAGAAAGTTTCCAAAACCCGGTGCCCACAATTACTCCCGCTGAAAACAGGCAGGGTGGGGTCACGCCTGCAATGGGGGAGAGAGAAAATCAGAAAGAAAACAGAATGTTTTTGTGATAAACCTTATTTTTTATAATTGCCATTGAAATATCTGTTTTGCTTTGCTTTTGGAGTTGCCTGTGGGCGTTATCGAAGAAGCTGCAAGCCAAAGAGCTTTGTGGCTGGGTGGGTGTGAGTGAGCCAGCGAAGGGAGGGGAAAGTGAGGGGTGACTGCTACTTAGACCTAGAGAAGCTATTTAGCATGCCTAGAATATAACAACTATAACAAGCAGGAGCA